GACCGTTAAGCAAATCAAGGAAATTACAATTGGTAAGACTTTTTCTGTTAACGTAGAAACGGTCTCGAAAGGAAACTGGTAACTGCATACTTTGCGTCTAATCCAGTATGAGATTCACTGCAGTCTTCCATATCCGTATTCAGGTCCGTATTTAATTAAGGTGAACAGAAACAGTACCTAAATATTTTAAGATTTTTTTTTGTTAACAGATGCACATTTTGACTTTATGTGAAATGAAGCACTCGGTATCTCTTCCTTGAGAACGCAGAGGAATTCTCGTGTGCTGTGTGAACTGCGGAACTGCGGTGCCAATCCTCCGTCTGCGGTTTAGTTCCCGCTTAAAAGCCTGCTCTGCACCATGTATAGAAAGTTGTAGTCCTTTCAGATTATCTTCAGCCGATTTTCAGTTTATTGTTAATCATTAACGTAGTAGCAAAGATTGTCTCGATTTAACAACACTTTAACTTTTCTGGATTCGTTAAAATGTTTTTGGTCTATCTCTTTAGAGAAAGTGCTGATCGGTGTCCGAGCATTCAACAAGTATTCTTCTTAGGCTGTCAACGCAGCCCTGTGCGGATTCATTTAGATTGCTTGTATCTATGCTTTGCGTATCACTACAAATAAAATTTACTTTCACTTTTCACTTTTGTTGTAGGAAATAAGAGTCTAACACGCAACTGTAATAGGCAGTAAAAGTGATATCGATGTCTTTTATTTTGAGAAAAATGTTATTTATAGTGATGGTGCAGGCCGCCCTCTAGCGGCGACACAAGGTAATCTAAACCAATCTGCGCAGGGTAGCGTTGATAAGCTCTTATCAATAACTTAATTTAACAAAATGCATTGAGTTGTTCCGAAGTTATTGACATTTATTTTCGAAAATGTTTGGATACCCTTCCACAACTTCCTCTTACGAGATACAGTGTTTAACGAAAAAATATCCATAATATAAGATTATTTTGCAAAAAGTGGGATTTGATACTTAAGGATTCCATTACGCTCCCCGCTAGTCATTCCAGAAACTTGAAAATAATTTACAGCATTTTCCGCCGTTTTAGTTGCAAATTATTTTGTAAAGCAGCAGAATAGAAATGAGCGGAAACGTGGTTGCTTATTTAACCGTGACAACAACAAAATAAATTCATTCTTTTATTATGATTAGGACAATTCTCTTATTAGTAAAACCTTGGAAATTATTAGAATTTCAATCATTCGAGGAATCAATACCTGACGTGGTATTGAAATTACCTACGCCGATGCCAGACCATTAATAATATTAACCGGTTTGTGTACATACCGGTCACATGACCCGCACGAGCTATACATCAACAGGTTTACGTTGGTTCAATCTTCGAGAAGCGCCATTTAACAGACCACAATTTTAGACGTCTTCGTCGTATGATTTTACTGGAAATCAATCAATGTTATCGTTTCCTATTATTAATACAGCAACATCGGTAGATGTTGAGTCAAACTGACGATAATTCAGCCCAGTCTGCAAGATGCAATATTTATATTTTGGATTTTTTCCATGCCACTGCTAAGTTCGATCATTTAGAACTGGTGCGAGAAAATCGGGGCAAAGTTTCTCCTCGATGAAAAATGTAAACCAAGTCGAAATCACGAAAGATTGAAGTCGAAAAGTACGAAAAAGTGGAAACAATATTCAAGAAGCAACTGTAGCACCTTGATGCGATGAGGCAACCAATTACAGTCCAGTTTCGGATCTATTGTTTCAAAAAGTCAACATGCTCATAAAGACAAATTGCAGAGAAATTGAATGGTTTATTAGAATAATCGCAAGTCGTCAATAAAGGATTTGTTTATAAAAACTACCTTTCAGTGCAACCTACATCAAAATTAAATCTAAGAGAATTGCCCAAAAATTGGTTTTAAAGAGCACAAACATGTATATAATATATACAAAACATAAATATCGCATGTTAATCAAACGTTAAAAACCCCATGTGGCTCAATTTAATGCTAAATACATTTTGTCATAAAGTTTAGCCACTTAATTAAAACATTCGAATACCAAAAATTATCTTTATTAAGTGGTAAAACTTAAAAAACAACCTTTAAAAACAACAACAAACAACAGCGCTTAAAAAATGATGGTCATATATCATATATCAATGATGGTTACACATAAATTGTAAATGTAAACAGGACCGCTGGAAGAAATTAATTAATTTTTACCATTTACTTTTCTGCAGCACTTTTCTAACGTCACGCTAATTTATTTACACGAAATAATTCCTCGGAGGACTGATAAATTTGCTCCGTGCACTTCATTAAAATCTGCTTAATCTAGTCGAGCTAACGACATCCTAATTTATGCAACCAGCCTTATTAGATTGCCTCGTAATGGAGAAACTTGAGCATGTTATATCCGGCTTATTCATTGCTCTGCGCTTTAAATTCGTCACGTAACAATGTTAATATATCAGTTTAGTTTTTATTTGCTAACTTGTTCCTATTGCAACGGGGTTCTACTATTTTAAACGACCAAAAATTGTCGATGTTGTCAGCAATGAGGCATGCCATTGCGTCAAATACCTCCTAAGGTCACCTTAACATTCCTACGTGGGTTGGGCTCGGTGTGGAAATCGCTACGCGTCTACTGCGTGTAGTCAAGCGTCCCGTCGTTATATATAGGGTGAATCAACGAAATTTTTATGAAAATTTGGTCATTTATAGAACCGTCGAGCTAATGTCACCGTTGATATTTTACGCTGTTGCTTTCTGAATATTTTTCAAAATCGGAACAAAGTCAGTTGTCTGGCAAACTAACTAGAAGTATTCGAAAACAGAAATAATTTGTACGAAAATGTCAAGAACGGCAATAGGAAAGCAAGTTTGTAATGCGAATCATGAAAATGTCGTGGTATAAATGTAGCAATAAAATATTTTTGAGCCTTCGACCGATTTCAACGAAGAAACTCAAAAGAAATTAAAAAATCAAATTTGTTCTACTTGGGAAAACAGAGTAATATGTAAAAGATAATTAGCAAGTCACACTAACAGATAAAATAAGTTACGCAATAATACGGATACATAGAGACATAACAACACTGGTATAGCCCAATAATCCATAATGTTATGCATATTATAAATGGTAGATAGATAGCATAAACAAATTAATACAAAAAAAAATAGCATTTGCTCATCCAAAGAAATACCATAGCCCCAAACCATTAAACTTTTGCCTAAAGCTGAACATGGGAAGGGGCTGAAATTTTGATAAAGGGTGTTTTCTAACTGAATGTCAATAATTAAGGGTGTGATTTTTGGGTCTACTTTAAAAAGAAAACTTTATATGAACGTATGACCAAAACATCCTAACTATTGAGATACAGGGTGGTAAAGTTTTTCAAAAATATTTTTTTTTAATAACAGTAATACCACTTTAGATATATTAATGAAATTTAGTGTCCCACATTTTTTTAAAATACACCAGCGGCGGGCGGATTTCTCTTAACACTATTCTCACAATCTTCAATCATTACTAAAGAAATTTAATTTCTTGATTTTGTCAATCTGACGTACGATTTACGTTTAAAAGAAACCTATTTTTTGTATGGTCATAACAATATTACTAATATGACAGCATGCAGATAAATTAGTTTTTATTTTTAAGTGAACTTCGTGAGATGGACTAAAAAAATTATGAGATCAAATCTATCTGCTCATAAATGATTGCAAATGTCTTTTTTTTTTTGGAGAAAATCAAGTGTCTACGAAAAATAAAATTTTAATTAAGTAGGTCGTAGGAAGACTTCTTTTTACTTTTACACATACATATAATAACATAGCATCCTAACAAAAAGATAAATAATAAACGATTCTTATTTTTAAAAAATGCTCTCTACTAATAATAATTTTTAACAACAGTGTTTCGGATTAAATAGCTAGAAGCTCTTATACGATCCTTCAGCTCTTCTACAGTGTTAACTGAGGTACGATAGACCAGATCTTTAAGCTGCCCCTATAAGAAAAAGGCCAAACCATTTGAATGTTCAAATTCTACAACTGCATGGTGGTTTTCATAGGCCCAAATATTGTGGAAATCTCTGATTACACTACTGAAAAGTTAGCTATCTGTAAATAGTATTTCCTGGTCAAACAAGGGATAATGCGCAAATTTATTCCCTGTAACGCTTGGACTCGTTGATTATGATATGGTTTCAATAGAAAATCGAAAGACGTGCGAGATATTAAGATTATTTCCAATTTTTCTAGTACTAAGTTCTGGATTTTGATTAACGCAATTTAAAACTGCGTCTTCAATTTCTGAAGTTTTTACAGTCCGATGGACAACTTTTAAATGATAATTTGACCTTCTATTGAGAAAGGGCTTTTGATATAATCCCCTAGCTTCCGGCGTCAACCATACATAAAATGCATATCTGCCAACTCAAAATAACAATGTTCGGATATTTTCACCAAATTGATAAGATGCGAAGAACCGAATTTACAAACTAATGTCAAACATCTGTCAAACAACCGCCTTGACAACAGAATTAATAATTCTTACAGACACAGCCATTACATTTATAAGAAATAATTATAAAAATTTCAAAAATACACCTCAGAGGTACTTCGTATTCATACTTCGATTTTTTGAAGCATTTTAATAAAACAGACAATTACTTAAGTGCATGCAGAGAAGAGATTTCGTTTAATTTTTAATTTTAATAGAAATCAGTGGCGTACCATCAATATCTGCCAAAATAGGCAGGTAAAATTCCGTAGGTCCGTCACTGGTGTGCCAAATTTCATTAAAATATCTACAGTGGTAATGCGGATGTTAAAAAAATATATTTTATTCTTGAAAACTTTACCAAAAAATAAGACGTTTAGGACATATGTTCATAAGAAGTTTTCTTTTTAAAGTAGACCCAAAAACATTGCATTGTAGGGGTGGGCCCCTGTATTCAATTAATACTTAAAGTCGAGATGATGGTTCTCGCTCACATAACACCTAATATTATTTATAGATTCCACAATGATGGACTCACAGACGATGTTAGTGCTGTCGCTGCAGCTAGTGGCGTTATTTTCCATAGCAGGAGCACTGTTACTGTACCTGTTGTGCAAAATTCGTGCTAACGAGTCGATTTCATCGGAAGCGTCGACGGGAGGAGGAAAACCAATACTGGTTACATGCTGCGATAACGTTATCGGCTTGCAGGTTTGTTGTGTCTATATTTTCTCGATAAATTTAAATATTGATAATTTGATAATCTTTAATTTTGGCTTTCGATTACCGTCATGGAATTTTCGAAAAAAAGACATTTTGGTTAGGCTCATCGTTTTGGAAGTTAAAAAGTAGCCAAATAATTTTTCAAAGAAACTTCCACAGGCTACCGTAATGCTTTTTGCAAAACTTCTGGATTCCTCCCGCGTCGGTTTTTGCTGAAACTGCTTTCATTCAAGTTCTGAAGAAGCCGACAGGATGATTGGCGAAACGTCAGCAATTTCGACTGAGCAAAAACCGACGCAGGAGGAATCCAGAAGTTTTGTAAAAAGCAAGTAGCCAAATGACTAATTTAATGTACATGATCGTGGTAATCATTGTCAACTTGGCAATTAGTGGAAAGATAATGTTACTTAGTCGTCTTGTGGTAGCAAGACGAAGTTTTATAATAATAAGATTTTGCTCTGCCATAAAAATTGCTAACCAACAACATTTTTGTCAGTATTTTAAGCACGTTAGAACAAAGCAGCTGTTCCGTCCTGTTTGTCGGGGTTTGTTAATTACGGCGAATCATTTGCTCTAAAAAATTGTAATTCAATTTTCAGTTTGGTGCCTATAACCGACACATCCTGTAAATTTTCAACTAAAAGGTATATTCATGGCATAATCGCAAGATTTTTTTCAAGCGGCTAACTTGGCTACCTTATTTAGTTCTGAACTTCGTGAATTCTTAAAAATTTATATATATTCGTGATATGTTAAATGACAATTAATGAAAGTTGGTGGTATTCAATAGTGATTCTTAATGTAATTAGAGGTAATAGAAAGAATTGGTGGAAATGTAGAAGTAATTAAGAAAAAAATATGGTAATTTTAGGGTGTTGGTTGTCATTTAGTTTATACAGACACACTGCTGAATTTGCCCTCTCTGTGGATGAAGCATCAGTTCGTCCCAGCACTACCAAGCTAATCAAACCGAAGGGCCTAGTAAAATTTTTTGGTTGCTCTTTTATTAACTAGGCCTGCTAAGACATACCGAAGGTCAAGAGAATTTGGTACATTTGCAGATTGCGCTGCACCTCGCTAATTTAGGCTTTCGGGTCTTCGCCGGCCTGAAGAGCGGCGCGTCATCGGGATCCGCCGAAGACTCGGTATCGGCCAAAGTTATTCGAGCTTGGCAGAAACATAGGGAGAGTGTCCAAGGTCCAGGCACCATTGTAGCCTTTCCGTTAGATGTTACACGAGAAGATCTTCTACACGAATCGGTGGACATCATCAGGGCCCATTTACCGGCAGGAAAAGATGGTAATTGCAATTCTCACCTGAAATATTGGGTGCCAAATTTGATACCTTAAGTTCTAATGGCCTGTTTCTGTTCCAAGTGTCGTAGATTAGTAGTATTTGTCTTATTTTTCAAAGGGGAATAATAACAAAATAAATCTGATAATTTTTATTCCAGCTATTTTCCCTAATATTATCTTTTATTCTTATTTTCTATGCTTTATGAGCGTCTAGAAGAGCTTAATGTTCAGAAATGATAGTTGTTTATAATTGCTGAAGTTTCCGACTTCACCTTCAAAACATTATATATATACATATATATATATATATATATATATATATATATATATATATATATATATATATATATATATATATATATATATATATATATATTCCCACGTATTGATTCACGGATGGAAAAATGTGATGACACTATATTCCGGGATATCATCCGTTCGCTCGTTGAACTCCGACTGGAATCCTGTATCCGACTGGAATCCTGCAAACCCTGCATCCGACTGGAATCCTGCAGACGTTTCGCCAAAATCTCAATTGGCATCTTCAATGCTCGCGCTCCGCCCAGTGTTCGAAGTGTTTTCGGAGCGCGAGCATTGAAGATGCCAAGTGAGATTTTGGCGAAACGTCTGCCGGATTCCAGTCGGAGTTCAACGAGCGAACGGATGATATCCCGGAATATAGTGTCATCATATATATATATACATATATATATATATATATATATATATATATATATATATATATATATATATATATATATATATATATATATATATATATATATATATATATATATATATATATATATATATATATATATATATATATATATATATATCTATATATATATATATATATATATATATATATATATATATATATATATATATATATATCTATATATATATATATATATATATATATATATATATATATATATATATATATATATATATATATATATATATATATATATATATGATGATGACACTATATTCTGGGAAATCATCCTTTCGCTCGTTGAACTCCGACTGGAAAATCAAAATAATAATAATACACAACAATTTTTCTGTTTATATTTTATTATATATTATACAGTTCTAAAGAAGGCTATAAAATTGGTAGTCCAAAACCCACACTTTTCTTAATACATATAATGAAAATAATAGCAAATTTTTCTTAAGTTGATTCTTTGGAGATTAGCGAGATTTTGATTGTTATTGGGACAGCCTGTACATAATGTGCTTTAAGAATTCTAATGGCGCATTCATGTATCTACCCATTTCGGTTAGTTTTGGTTACAATTTGACATCGATTAAATTATTTTTAAAAGGGCATGCAATGACATTTCTTGATATAATAACAAATTACTAATTCCACGCATAGCCATCGCGCCCATAATTTCTTTATAAATTGGCGATCCGTCAATTGATAAAAAATATCAACATCGTTAATTCTTATCGACTTAACGATCTGCAACAGAGCGTATTTCTTTGTAATTTATATATTGAAAGCAGTGGGTAGACTTTTTTTATGAATCACACACGGGGTGACACATCTTTCTATGACAGAACCCATAGCGAAAACTAATAAAAAATGTCCCGAAATTAGTGGGCCAGACTATAAGTGCAAAATAAGCCGCAGTTTTCTGTGTAAGCATATTTCGAGAAACCCCATTAAAGGCACCTGAAAATTTTGATACTAAAACTATAAATGTCAAATTTTGGTCAGGGGCGTAACTTTTGAGGGGTGCAAGTAACGAACACTGCAATAACTTTTTTGTTTATTGACCTTTAGTCTTTTTTCTTAAATAATCCGAAAAATTGTGTCCTGTTACGAGAAAAGAGTACACTGATTGATATCGTTAGAATGGCGTGTTTTCAAAGCTGGATTTCAAAAATACACACACATAACTGTTATTTTCTAAATTTTCAATTGACGGCTTACTAGCAAAGCAAAAAGCAAAATAACATTAAGGAGTAATTTTAATTCATAATTGCGTATTGGCTAGTTTACCTCTTTTTTTGAGGGCACGTGCCTCCGTTAGAGAATTCATTTTTTCTGAATATGACACAAACTACATAAAAACACACATTATAAAAATCAATTCCCGTTTTCTTCCCAGTTGGCACAGATAATACACACACACACAAATATTTTATGTAAGTAACTCAATTTGTTCGAATTCGGGATGAGCCAACAGATAATAATAGCCCAATATTAATTTAATTTTAATATTTCTATCGCCTGCCTATGATAGGCAAGGCACCTTCATACCATACGTGTAGAACAATTATAAATGAGAGAATCGTCTACGGATCTATTGACATTCTTTGTTAGTCCAAGTGCACTATCAATTTAAAACGTTTCGCTCGTTATTGGGTCAATTTTCCAGCTCAACTAATACGTGCATTGATTTGTAAATCAAGGGATATGGGCTGTAATTTGCACCAACGGGTTGACGTACCGCGGGTCTCTGATGCACCAGGATATCGCGCACTGGGATGCGATCCTTAAAACGAATATCGTAGGTGTGCTCCGCACCGCCAGGACATACCAGAACTTACTAAAAAATACAAATGGGAGGATTATTACCATCGGAACGACGGATAACATGGGCGAAGGTTTGGTCGCCTATGCAGCCAGTAGGTGAGTCGACTTGAAGGTATTTCGCGGTATTCTGTTTCTTTTAGCTACGCAATATGCCGTGACTAATAACAATTCACCACATTCCAGTAAAACGAGCCGTTGCACCTATATTTGTGATAACGTATTGTGCCGCTTTAAATCAAATTTTGACTTTTTTCAAGTGCAATGCGGTGTTGCCAACCTAGTGAATTTAATTTTCCGGTGATCTTTTCCCGAACAGGCTTATAGTGAATTCTATCTAGACTCGAATGGTTCCGATAATGCAGTCAATATCGATTTTCGAGAGATAATTAAAATATATTTAAAACAAGGTAATGAGTAGTCTTTATAATAAGGGATTGTTTTACATTATTTTACCAATTTTCTACCTATATTTTGCTATTTTTTATCTATTTAATTAGTATTAGTATTAGTATTAGTAATATGAATTTTCCAGATACAGATAAATTATTAATTACTATTTTCATTAAATATATTACACTCGGACTTTAAGTAAAAGTCACATTTTCTAAACTATCATATACATAACACACAATAACGAGTTTTACCACAAACCGAAACTCAATTTTACGTCGTACTCGACGCGCGTTTCGCCAACCAAGTTGGCATCTTCAGGAAAAAATTAAAACTAAACTTAATTGAACAAATGCTCTCTGTATATATACACATCGGGAAGTGGGAGGGGGAATTACGCACTGTTCACGCAACCAATCAGCGCGTATAATGGGCTAAATGGGATTGGACCTCGTCCTTGTTCAGTGCCTAATTTCTAAGCTTTCGTAGGCATCTAATTTTCTACTATTATTTACATGTTTAACTAATTTTAAATTACCAATATCTACCTTGTGATTATTGTCGAACATATGTTCGACTACACTTGATTTTTCTAATCTAGCAAATTTTAAATGAGCTAAGTGTTCCTTAAATCTAACATTAATTGATCTTTTGGCTTGCCCTACTTATGTCTTGTCACAATCGTTACAACATATTTCATAAATTCCCGACTTTTCAACGGTATCTAATTTATCCTTGGAATTACCTAAGAGATTTTTTAATTTTGATCCGGACTGAAGACTCTATCAAGTCCACTTGTATATTGGGGAGAGGAAGGAATTGAGACTCTGTTAGATTTAAGGAACATTTAGCTCATTTAAAATTTGGTAGATTATAGAAAATTCAAGTGTAGCCGAACGTATGTTCAACAATAATCATAAGGTAGATAAAAGTAATTTAAAATTAGTTAAACATGTAAATATTAGTAGAAAGCTTAGAAATTGTTAAGAGAGGGAATAAGGCACTGAACAAGGACAGAGGTCCAATCCCATTTGGCCCATTATACGCGCTGATTGGTTGCGTGAACAGTGCGTAATTCCCCCTCCCACTTCCCGATGTGTATATATTTAGACAACATTTGTTCTATTAAGTTTAGTTTTAATCTTCTCCTGAAGATGCCAACTTGGTTGGCGAAACGCGCGTCGGGTACGTAAAATTGAGTTTCGGTTTGTGGTAAAACGCGTTATTGTGTGTTGCCGAAGGTTCCAGTCAAGAGTGTGATATCATATACATATTTTTTCTATTAGGATATGAACTTCCAAAAGTCGCCTTTTCTTCAGTTCAGTTCAATCAATCCAACTTTTTGATACTGTATGGTGTGTATCAAACCAAGTTTCATCTAGGGAATCTAGAATTTTTAATTTTCTAAACTCAATTAGCATTTGTTTTTTTGTCCATTTTACTGTATTTAAATCCTCAAATAAATCTTCTTCTAGGTTTTGTTCTTCTTCTTCTTATCTTGTTCCGGACGGTGAGATTGAGAATTACTATGTATTTTTCTTTTGTTCAATAATTCACTGTTAACAATGTTTTTGTAATAACGCAGGTTTCTTTTAGAGCTTCTTGTTTAATTTAAAACGTTCGCGCATACTTGTCACAATTTGTTTTGGGTCTGAGTGTAATTCGCGATTGCGTTCGGCAACTGATGTGGAGTTTATTTATTTTATATGTTGTTGCAATTTCGTTTCAGATACGCTGTCGAAGGCGCAAGTAACGCACTGAGGCAAGAGTTGGCGCCTTTCGGAATTAAAGTCGTCACTGTAAATCCGATGGGGATTCTTCCCGAATTACTTTTTTGTCAGCCGAAACCCGCTAAGTAAGTGCACATAATATATCATCGCGTGAATAAATAAGAGAGATTCGCTTGACACGTTTTCAAGAAAAAAGATAAATGATACACCAGTAAAAGCCTAATAATAAAAGGCCCAAACTAACGGGATTCTCTTCGCTAATAATACCATTTTTACCATTGAGTCTTTTAATTTTTAGAAGGGCGGATTCGGATGACGTGTCTGTGGACATAAATGGATCGATGGACTATCAACCGATAGTTTTGTCCGAACGAGCCTTGGAAATATTAGATGTGGCGCTGACTACGAAGGACCCGAGAAACAATTATACTCTGGAATATAAGTACAGATGGTCTAAACCTCTGAACCTTTGGAAAATTGTATAAAACCGTCGTCAGTCATCTCGTTTTTTCGATCAAACTATCTTAAATTTTCGGTTTCAATGTATCTCTAAATCACCTGCATATTAAACATTTGTTTTATTGCACGAAAATTTAAATTATACTTGTATTCGAAAAGAATCCGTTCCACATAATCCCTACTATTTGGGACGCGTATAGCCAGTTCTTACATTGTATGTTCTGTACCTGTTAACATTAAAAAAGTGTTATTTTATAGCTTCTCAATTTGTTTAAAATTCTTCAAACTTTTATAAAGTTTTCATACGCGGTGACGATTATCCCAAGTCCAGCAACGGTTGTAAAATTGCCCGTATTGAGAAAGTGACACGTGTAACCAGTATCCGAATCCATTTTCGACTTCGAATGCTAATCCTATTTAGTTCGAGCCGGTTTAACGGTTCGTGCATTTTTAATCTGGCAGAATCTTGGTGAACTGCCCTGAAAATAGCCGAGAGAGAACAGAAAATAGACAGGTGATGACCCGACTTTGGCTATAACACTTTAATTGCTCAACAACGTTAAAGGGCGAAAGTAAATTAGTTTGATCGATAAATGCTGTAAAAAATATCACACTATAATAGCAAAAGAAATTAAGACAAAGAGGGATGTTAGTTGCAGAAAATTTAAAGTTAACGTTGGTAACTAACCAGTTGGTTCGTACATAAATTTGGCTTGCAAAAAAAAATTAGCATCATTGGGTCCAGCTACTTCGTACACAATTCGGAGGTTGCTATGTTCCTGTTTGTCAATAAACAACTGCTAGAAGATAAAACCACTTTATATTAATGAAGAGAACAAATTGACAATCAAAGCAAATGAATGAAGCGATTTATTCGACCGATTCATGTATGCAACTGACCAAACAGGTGAACAGCCCGAACAGATCCCGCTTCCCATGTAGTTTTTCCTGGTACCAATAACAGTCCGTTAGCATCCACCATGCTATTAAGGCGACTGCTTATTTGATTGCCGGTCGAAACGGCGCGAAATTCCAGGGACGTATTTTGAAATATATTTACCCGTACATACTCAGGTCTGATATCATTATTAACAATCCGGTTTTCCTGAAACAAAAAATCATATAAAAAATAGTGTTCGTGGTTTCGATGATACCCAACGCTTTGAGCAGAATTTACAAAGATAGGTTTTGCAGAGTGTTCGGAAACTAAATTGATAAACCAACTGAGAAAAATCTAGCGATACCTTCATGTCCATTGAACTTACTTACTCAACATGATACGGCTCTTTGTTATTTTTTTTTCTGAAAATATATAAATTTCAATTGAAGCTACTAGCCAATTTATTGCACCGAGGTTTTATTGTTCTGTTTATATCTCCGGTCGAGACAGATAATGGTTTCTGAATGCGAGGCAAGAGGATTTTTGACAAAATCGAATGCATGCAAACCATTTCTTCCGATAACAAAATAATATGTAAACTTACGGCATCCGGACATTTCGGACCGGCAGGGCAACGCTAGAAAGTTTTAATCATGGTAGCCACAAAACTATAAGGGGTCTTATATTAATTGGCTTGTTAATAAAGTAGGCTACAGCAAATCCGCAGGGTTTTCGGTGCCATAAATATAGGGCAGACGGTCAGGTCAGATTGTATTAAGGATTACTGTAGTAGCGACAAAAGGTATCCACGTACACACAGAGACCGGAGTCAGTCCACAAATTGATTTGGGTCAACGGTAGGGTTAAAATATACCCAAAACCGTTTTCAAGAAGGGAAACGGCACAAAGCGGTCAATTATTAAATAAAATTCTATAAATATATAAATAAAATAAAAGACTGCGAAAAGGGGGCGCTACAGGAAATATTTATGTTTAAGTATGTGGACAATATCACAGGTTTTTACATCAACATTTGCAGGGAGATGGCCAAACGAATGAGGGCTAAAAAATTGAACATTATAGTTGAGATGTATGGATGAAAATAACCAGAGTTTCAGTTCAGTGTTGTAAGCAGGAATAGTGTGGTATGCCAAGTCTGCAACAAGGTTTCAGTTGGAGATTTAAAGATTGCATCAATACTGATGGGACCTCCGAGCAATTGCAACAGCAAGGAAATTAATATGTTGATGGCTACCACAGCGGATCTTAAAGCAGAGCAATTCGGTAAAAACAGCAGCTACAAATATGAAAATTTTGAATATACGGTTACAATATAATATTCTTCTTTCTCTTTTTCAATGGTTCCTACATAACATAACAAGCTTTATTTGGAGGACAATGTCCTAGGGCTGCCTACGGACAGCACAACACCTAAGTATTGCTTCGTTAACCACTACAGGACTCAAATCCCAGCCAGAGTAGACTGGGAAAACGGGCCACCAATCAAGGCAGAAATAACCTGGTATGCTGATGGCTCAAAAACTCAAGAAGGAGTAGGAACCGGAATATACGAACCCAGGACGAAAAGGAAAATCTCTATTCCAATGGGTAAGCTAGCAACAGTATTCCAAGCAGAGATCACTGCACTAGAACACTGTGCGAAGCGAGGAAGATCCGTAACAAATCAATTGCGATTTACACCGATACTCAAGCGGCTATAAAGGCCCTGCAATCTAATAAAATAACATCCAAGTTAGTTCTGGACTGCCATAAGGCATTAAACGAGATAGCAAGCCAGAACAAAGTTACTCTATCATGGGTACCGGGGCACGGAGGGCATAAAGGTAGTGAAGGCGCAGACGACGCAGCCCGCGTCCAGGACCAGAACCCTTTTGTGGGGTGGCCAAACCCGTTGCAAAAGCAACCATCAGGGATTGGATGGACCGAGAATCCCGACGATGGTGGAGGGACATGCCGAGACAAAGACAGGCCAAAGAATTCCTAAAGGGCCCATCGGTCAATTTTACAGCGGATCTACTAAGCTACAATAGGAAAGCCGAAAGGATAATGGTAGGTCTGCTGACGGGCCACTGCAGGCTTAAGAGACATCTAAGCCTGATGGAAGTGGAAGAAAACACAGAATGTAGATTTTGTCAGGAAGAGGAGGAAACAGCCGCACACGTACTGTACCACTGCGAATGTAATGAGTGCGTTTCCATCTGCTGGGCGATACCAAACCAGAGGCAGAGAGCTACACGAGGGAGCCATTATCGAAGTTGTGGAGAGTGGTTAGAGAGACGAACATGGATAAAGCTCTACAGCTATGAAAAGAGTCACAATAGATCCTCTGGGTCGCAGTGACGGACAGGCTGACTGCTAGCTCTCCCAACTGTTAATCTTAATCTTAATCTTAATGGTTCCTGATGATCCTTTTGCAATACATTATCAAAATACGAAAGGACTTCGAACGAAATTAACTGAGTTCTGTTTAGATGTGCCCGCATCTGAATTTGATCTTGTCTGTATCACTGAATCCTGGTTAATTAATTATACAGAAATTTTCCCAAACAATTATGGTGTTTTTCGTCAGAATAAGGACTTAACAATTAGTGGGAGAAAAGATGGTGGTGTTCGTAATGTGTTTATCGCTGAAAAGGTGTAATGATGCCAATATAATTGAATATTATTGTTCTCCCCGATTTTGGAGGGCGGTAAGCAACTCTTTGTGCTATGTATATACCTCAGCACGCCTCAATAAATAATTATGTTGTTTTTCCATCAAAATTGGAAACAATCTGCCATAAACATAGGGATAGCAAATTTCTATTGACTGAAGATTTTAATTTTACCTACTTAAATGTTACTACGATATTTCTGTTTTTGCGCCATCTGGTGCCACGGAGCCCCATACTTCCCTCTTTCGCGATCGCTCTTTCTTGCTAGATCTTAAGCAGTTTAACAACATCTAGATTCACAACAATAGGATTTTCCATTTAATTATTTTACATAACATATTTGCTAATGTCAACAGAAGCCACAGTCCATTTGTACAGGAAGACATCCACCATTCCGCTCTTAGAGAACTATGTATTTTAAAATGTAACGGGTGGTTAAATTGTAAGGGCCGATGTTGAATGTGAACCACACCTAAACGCCAAGTTTTTTTCCGAATTTTATTTGACATTTCTCTATTTCAGACTTACTCAATTTGAACCATGGAGAGATACACAATCCAACAACGTGTTAAAGTTATCCAGACTTATTATGAAAATGGGCGTTCAAATCAAAATGCATATCGTGCACTTCGTGATTTTTTTGGTCAATTTGATCGTCCAAATGTGCGTACAATCGCAAAAATCGTGAAAAAATTCGAGCAAACCGGGTCTGTAGAAGATGTGAGAACACCAGTGCATGCTCGTACAGCTCGTACTGCAGAAAATATTGCTGCTGTTCGCGATAGTGTGCCTGAAGAGCCGTTCACCTCAACTCGTCGTCGTGCCCAACAATTGCACCTCTCACGCTCGTCGTTGATAAACATTATGCATAAAGACTTGCATTTACACGCTTACAAGGTGCAATTGGCTCAAGAACTAAAGCCTCTTGACCATTCCAAACGTCGTGAATGGGCAGCATGGTGGCAAGAAATGGCAACAGTGGATGATCAATTTTCGAAGAAAATCATCTTCAGTGATGAGGCACATTTTCACCTCAGTGGATTCGTCAATAAACAGAATTGCCGCATTTGGGCGAATGAGAATCCAAGAGTGATTGTCGAAAAACCAATGCACCCCCAAAGAGACTGTTTGGTGCGGTTTATGGGCTGGCGGCATCATCGGGCCGTATTTTTTCCAAAATGAGGCCGGTCAGGCAGTTACTGTGAATGGTGTTCGCTATCGTGAGATGATAACGAACTTTTTATGGCCCGAATTGGAAGATATGGATGTGGACGATATGTGGTTTCAGCAGGACGGTGCCACTTGCCACACAGCTAACGAAACAATGGCTCTTTTGCGCAACAAATTCAATGGTCGTGTTATCTCACATAATGGCGATGTCAATTGGCCGCCAAGATCATGTGATTTGACACCGTTGGACTTTTTTCTTTGGGGTTATTTGAAAGAAAAGGTGTACGTCTATAAGCCAGCAACAATTCAAGAGCTAAAGGATGAGATAATTCGGCACATTAACGGAATAGAACCTCCATTATGCCTCAGGGTCATCGAAAATTTGGAGGTGTGCCGCCGTGGTCGCGGCGCCCATTTTTTATTCCATACATAATTGAGTAATACCAATATATCATAATAAAATAAAATTACAATAATATCCTAAATAGTTTGTGTTTTATTCAAAATCAACATCGGCCCTTGAAATTTAACCACCCGTTACAACAAAACTTTTATGCAAAAGTTATATTAAAAAGCAATTTTCCATAGCTAACTATGTCCTAACATCCGAAAAAATTAGGAACTTGGCGTAGAACGATATTCTAAATTTTGATTTAGTTGAGCAGGATGTGTCTGCCTTTTATAATTACATCTCGGACATTATCCAGGACCACATACCTACTAAAATCTATTCTCTCTATTAGAAAAAGATTTTAAAACTAATAAAGGAAACGACTATAAGGATTATTTACTAAAAACTTCGAATACCTTCGCAGTTTTATTTATTAACTTTGGTAATGCCTCTCCATATTATTTTTAATGAATGTTTAGTACAGAGCACATTTCCAAAACGTTGGCAAGTTCCGCCACAGAAGTCGCTGATTGTAAGCCTATCTCGCTCCTATGTCTTTTTGCCAAAGTTTTTGAAGCCGTTATTTATACCCAATTTTTTTTCATGATCGAGAATAACATAAACATGAATCAAGATGGAGTTCACGTTCTGTACGTAAAAACCTAATCCCTTTTATCCATAACCTTTCTATGCAGAATGGCTTTGAGATCTGTGCCATGTAGAATAGGTAAGCCCTCACAACAAGGTTGGAAATATCGGTCCGAAAGGCAACTTACTGCGTTCGTTGCAAAGGTACCTAACCGACAAAACTCAGTTTATGGTTGCGCAAGGTGAAAAATCGAATATAACGTCTGGAGTCCCTCATATTTGATATTGGAAGCTGTTTTCAACATTCAGTCACAGCCCTCATTCGCAGATGACTTAAAAGTAAGAATGATCGCAGAATCATCTGGTTTACTATGTACTGTAAAAATCACAGAACTTTTTTT